GTAACTATTTTTAAACTTTGCATCTCTGCCTTACCAGAAAAATGATAACTACTTTATTGATTTGCCTTATAAGACTTTTAGATAATAGATGCCAAGCAACAGCAAATGGCATGTGTAGGGAACCCACCCCAACCCAGATCCCACCTGCATGAAACGCCTTGCTCTGAGCTTGCTAATAGTCTAATTACTGCATTTCTGCAAGTGTATGAAACACAGGCTTCTGGGACAGATCTTGTGATTCTTTATATTTTCTGTGTGCATATTCTTTTAAAAAAGGCTGCTCACTGAATTATATTAATGTTTGTTTAGCCAATTTTTGCATGTAATAGAAATTGTGAAAAGACAGGTAGCACTTAGCAGCTGCCAGTTGCATATTGTGTGAATTGTGCTGGTGAATTTAATCAACTTTGGCTAGTTCTTAGCATTTGGACAGTATATTTGAGTTAATCATGACCATACCTTAAATTAATTATTCATGCATTAGGGAAAAATAATGTTTAAAAAATTTAAATCTGTTTTTCAGTGAAGACACATCTTTCTTCATAGTGTTTCATGCTTAACTCTTGCTTTTATCAGTCCAATTATTTTAAATAGAAACTCCTCTTACATTTAGAGTTGGCAACATTATGTATGATTAGCATTCCTGGACCTACTTCTGTTGTTCCAGCGGTGTTTTACTTCATTAATGTTTTGTTAGCAGAATTTTAAATGGCAAGGTACAATGAAGGGATACATTATTTCTGCTATTAAAATATATTTTGAAATTCTTCTGCTTGCTTTTGAAAAGTAAATGCTGAGACTAGTCATACTACAGCAGCTGCATTTCTGTCTTTGGAAGGTCATTCAATCAAACATATATGCATTTATTTCAGAAGAGGTGCAGGAATCTTCTGGTGTCTTTATGTATGATAAATATAAATCTAAAGGAAATATGCTACAATATTATTGTAGCTTTAGCAATCTATTATAAAGTTTATTGCACAGAAATAACTAGGTCAACCTCTGGATGACCTGTCTTTTGGAGTTTCTTCGGTTAGCTTTAGGCTAGAGCTCCACCTTGTGATCTTTCAGCAGGATACATTTTCTTTTTATAGTTAATAATTTAATTATGATTTCACAAAGTTGAGGGACTGCGGAAAGTTTTCTCAGAGACTTGAGAGATTTCAGTATCTGGTTGGGAAAATTAAAGCTGAAATTCTGTGAGCATGCAAAACTGAAGAAGAGCTGCTTTTTCTGCTGCGCCTCAGTTTAGATTTAACTTATTAAAATAATCTGCTTATTGGAGCACATTTAATAGATAACATAGACTTTCACTATTTGGAATGGCATGTGCAAGATTCTCACTTTCTCTTTCCAGACTGTACTGTGATGAACTTGGTATATTTCAGAAGTTGTGATAGGATGCTTATGTGGACTGTTTTCCTTTGCCATTGACTTCCCAAACCGGGTGCTTTGAATGAATCATCGAGTACGTGGGTGAAGAAGATACGGCTGGCAGTAGTTTCAAATTTCCAACATGCTTTTACTGAGATAAAGGGTAATGGGGAATGACCAATGCCAGTTTTTTCCCCATACCAAAACAAGAGAACATCAAATAAAATTGGAAACTGATTAATTCAAAGCAAAGAACGTGCCCCTTTATAGTGTGAAGTTTGTCTGTGGGAGTTCTTGTGTGGAATGCCATTGCTGCATTATTGAATATTGAGTTCAAAAAGTAATTGGAAATATTGATGTAAAAAAATATTGATGAGGGTTTATAGAATACAGGGACAGCCTCTCTGGCTGAAAAAAACTTGACTTATTTTTGGGTACTGGGAAGGTAATCAGGGAAAAAACATCGCTAATAAGAACAAAGCAGATGTGTTCTTCCTTGGGCAGCTTCTGTTGGCCACTGCTGGAGGGGGCACGCTGGGCTAGGTGACCCTGCTGGTTAAGGATCAAAAGTCTGTGTCATATTCTGGATGTGTGTAAAGTATCATTTACTGGGACAAATGCAGGGGGTTTTTTTGATCATTGCTGGAGTTTGAACTTGACACTGGAGATCCCTTATAGTCTTGCCTCATAGATTCTTGCATGGCATTCATCTGTTGCTACTGTTTTCCATAACACCAGTGTATAGTTGCACTCATAAGGGCCAAATTTCTTTTTCCTTCAAGATAAACAATTCTTGAAATGTAAATCTTAGCAGCTTAATGCTTCAGTATCTAGCAAGAGCTTGATATTTCTTTCCCATTTGATGAGGTGATTCTGACCAAACAACGCCGTGTTTTCTTTCATGTTTTGTTGTTTGTACTAAGAGGAACGGTTCTTACAAGGAGTTCAAGTTGGTATAAACTGCAGCCAGCTAGTTCTGGCAAGTGATCTATTTGACTTGCTTGATGTAGAGAGTATATAATCATTAACCCATCATTTTTTATAGGTTTTTTACTTCTTTTTATCTTTTAAAATATTTATGTGATTTTTAAGAAACGTTATGGAGGCTTTTTGCAAAATCTGTTAGGACAATAGATTTACTGTTCATAAAGGGAGGAAAAACTTTGTTAATTCTGTGAACAAGTGGTTAACTTGCTTTGTTTCTCAGTACTTTCAAATTTTATGGAATAGGAAATTTTAGTATCATAATTGGGGAATATTAATGAGCATAATACAAAATTAGCATGTAAGCATCCTGATTGTCACTTCAGTAGACGTGTTGCTTCTCAACATTGAAAAATGTAAACTAGGAAAAGTCAAATAGCGACATGTTGATAGACAGGTTGAACTTGAAACTGAGCAGTGTGTTTTTTGAAGTTTGCATCACTGGGACTAAATCACAAGCATGCCCTAAAAATGATTTGTATGGCTGGATCTCTTCTTGTCTTTTTTTTTTTTCTTTTTTTTTTTCCTCCCCCCTTTCTGTTTCTACACTTCCCCCCTATTTTTACTCTGGTGCACCTCTGAGCGGGTGCTAGCCTGATGACCAAGGCACTAAAGCGTGCTGTGGTAGTTTTCCAAGTTCAAATTGCTGACAGGAATCAGAGCAAATCCTAAAAAAAAACCAAACCAAAACAAAAAAAAATCACACAAAAAAAATCCAGTCCAAAGCACAGAGCATTTTGATATGTCATCAACTAATCATATAGTTTTACAACCACTACAGAGTATTTTAATACGTCACCAGCTAAGTATATAGTTTTACAACCACTACAGATTATTTTAATACGTCACCAGCTAAGCATATAGTTTTACCCCCAGCCCGGATGGTATAATAGCCCCCTGCCACCAATGAGGGAGTTTTATTCTTCCCTCCCTTGCTCGTGGCTACGCAGTCTGCAGTCTTGTGTTTCCCATGCATTGGCTGCGGGTACCTGCTGTTGAACCAGTTTAACTTGATAATCCAGGGATAAAAAATTCTTGAGGTATATTTTGCCCATTTTATTGGGGAATTAAATCAGGTGATACTGAATGGCAGAGCCTACAAAGAGAAACAGCCAGGGAGGGGATGTCACCCTGTCTGGGACGGATTGTTTGCTAAAGAGAGTGTATAACTGGAGCAGGAGGGGATGACGTGCAGCGTTTGTGTGCCTGCATGGGTTTGGAGAAGGGAGGAATGGGGTGACAAAGGTTGCTGCCATTCTGCAGCAGCAATGTTTTTGAAGCCTTTTATTTTCTACCGCATTCTGGATGGAACATGCTTTAGTAGTTTTAGACTGTCTTGAGATTCACCAGCCTATCTCGAACCTCCTCTCGTTGTGCCACTATTTCTTTCCACTCTGGTTCTCTGCTTTTATGTAACTGTGAAATGTGAAGAAAGAGAACATAATAAGTTCAGGGTTTATGGTTTCTCTCAGCTCTTTAAATTCTGGAAGCTACAGTGGCCCCTAGCATTCAGAATAAGCACTTGCAGGAAAAAAAAAAGTACGGCCTCTATCTACATGCTCGACTGAAAGGCAGTCTCTGAAGCATAGCTACCAGACGTTAAGCAACATGTGCTTAGCATGCCAAAATTAAATCTCTCCCTCAAATACCTAATCACTCCAGCAAGCTGAAGAGTCAGCAGACTTAGACTCTGGAGGTTTTTCTCCTTGCTGTTTTATCTTTAAGATACCCGAACATGGTGCTTTCTTAATTTAACTGGGGCAGACAATTGACGTAGAAAACTTTAGCCTGCATGGTTAAATCTCACATTTGAAGTATGCAGGTCTTCTCCCCCCCCCCCACCTAAATGTAGGAAAAATTAGATAAATAACAACATTTATTAATAGGTGGCAATAGTATAATTAAGTTGAAAAGCAAGTATTTCACAATCGTACATTTTCTTGATAAAATGCTGCGCTGTTTCTGATGTTTTTCTTTATAACATGTGGATAGTATTATCTTCCTTGATATTCTTAGAGTCTTGTCAAATGCTTTAAATGTTAAAACTGTTGTAAGCCTGGTTTATCAACTCTGGAAGACAGGGAGTTGTGAAACTGCTGGCTAGGTTATAAGAACTTGTTATAAGAGCGTATCTTTGTGGAAAATATAATGAAATTTTACAAATTGGAGGTACAAAGTTGGTATGCATAGTGTCCTTAAATGTACACATGCTGTGCTTTAATATTTAACATCAAATCTGGCTTTAGTTTGGTTAACCAGAAATATCCTAGTGTTGGTAAGTCTGGGTTCTGCAGTGCATGCTGTTACAGTTCAAACTTAAATCTAGTATAGATTTAGAAATAAAAGCTATTATTTGCAAGCTGTTAAAGAAAACCATTCTGATTTGGTCATCCTATGCAGAAAGTGTTTTTTGCCAAATGTTTTTGTATTATATTTTACCATGATACTTTTAAGATTCATGGGGGTACTTTGTAGTAAGATCATGGGAGGAGTCAAAAATATGAAATCCCTAAACAGGAAAAAGCTCGGTTGGAAAGAGAGGGTGGTGTGATCTAAATTTTCTGTGTTTCCAACTTTTTTTACCTGTTCAGATGTGGAAAAATTTTCATTGTATTTACATTTCTTTATTTATTTTATTATAGAAGTTGTCCACTACAAAGGAAGAAAGAAAAGTAAGCTTGTACTTCAGACTGCTTTTTGGATATCTTTCTAATACAGTGGTGTTCCAGAAGATGATAAAGAAATGATAGCAGCTCCAGAAATACCAACTGATTTTACTCTCCTTCAGTAAGTGTTTTAAGAATTTGTAGTTTCATTTTTAAATGTACTGGCTCTTTTTAGCGCTAATGCATCTGGTTGGCTTTCTCTTGGAAAGAAGGAAACAAAATGAGGGAATAGGATTCTAGATTTTTTCCTACTAAGGTGCTGCAGCATTTTCTCATTTTTTTTTCTTGAGTATTCATCAGTAATTGAAATAAGTATTTTAAAACTGCTTAATTATTTTAAATCAATTTTTAAACTTTGTGAGTAGGAAGCCATGGTAACAGACACTTTTTTTTTGTTCATGGTGTACTTCTTGGGTTTTTGTCTTTCAAAATGAAATGTTTGATTAAGAAAGCCTTTGATTAGGAATACCAAAAAGTTTCCTTCATTAAAGCCTCTTTGTATAGAAAGAGAGGAAGTGGTTGAGGTATTTGCCCTTAATAACTGGGGCAGGTTGCCTAATATGTAAAAACACCTAATGAGAAATGCTTTGGTTAAAGCCAAAATCTTAGCTTCCCTCAGGCATCAGTTCCTTGATGTTTTTGACATCATTTTATTAGCTTGCTGGTACTCCTACAGTTTTTAAGAAATAGACATTTGAATTTTGGGTATAGATCACATGAAATAAAATGGTTGTTTTAAGCAGACAAAAAGAATCCAGGTCCTCACCTTGTAATTGTCAAGAAATTGGCATGAATGCATTTCAACAGAGTGTTGAAATGGATTAAGTTGGTATAAAATCTAAAAAGATACAAATACCTGATTTTGTATCATTGAGGTTGCTTGTGTGGGTTTTTTTCCTTTTAATGAGAAATAAATATAAATTGGAAGATGATTTACTATGAAATACTATTTTTACAGCTGTCTGTAATGATTTTTTTTTTTTGGTACAGTACATTGTTTAGTGAAATGTTTGGAATTTGTGTTCTATTCTTTCCTGTGATAATAAGAACACCTAGGAAGTTACAAAAAATAAATATTTCCCTCCTTTCCTCCTCCTTTCCTTCTCCTTTCTTTCCTTCCCTCCCCCAAGGTTGGAGACTTTTCCAGTCCATATCAGAGTACATAGTCAGCAGAAACAGAAAACACAAAACACACGTTAAAAGGCAGAAAGCTCCTTTCTGACACTTGAAATAGTTAGAGATCTTAAGCTTCTGCGTTGTTTTAGAATGTTATACATAAGTACATAGGAACAGGTCTCCTGTGCACCCTGCTCATCTTTCTGATTGTGTCATTAACTGACTCAGGAAGTGTGTATCAGAAGTTTGTGATCGCATACATGCTGCATGTATGTGTTAAAACAAGATCTAGTAGCATCGTTTAAGTTGTATTCTGCAGGATATGTAGAAATAGAGAATATATAAGTTAAGCATTCTTTATTAATAATTCATGTGATTTCACACACACCCCCCATCCCCATCAGTAAGCCTAAACAGAACTACAGGTTATCATCTTGATGGAGAAATCTTACCTAAAATTTTTCTATACCTTTCAACATAAGTACATACCTCTAAACTACCACTTTGGTTCTGAGGGAAGGTAAAGTGTTGGTTTCTTTTTTTGCTGTTTGGTTTTTTCCCCTCTCTCTTGTTTTTGTTTAAGTATTTGTGGCAGATATGTATAGTGCTCTTTGCTTTTTGAGATGATGTAATGCTTATCATCTGCCAAAAGCAAGGTTCCCAACCTGTTGCTATTTTCTGCCCACCTTCACATCTTTTAACGTTACCGGATGGCTTTCTTCACAGGTGAATTTTTTGGAGGAGTCAGGGTAGGGTGTGAGTGTGAGGATGCACTCTGGTGTGTTCCTCCACAGTAGACTGGAACAGAAGAAGATGGCAGTTTCACTGTTAGAGTTGAGCTACTGGACTGAGAGCATAATGTGACTTTGTGTAGTATATTTAAGAATGTTTCTGATGAAATGCGTAAATGGTTTGTCTTTCTATCCTTGCAGGGAGTCTGAAACACACTTCTCTTCCGATACAGACTTTGAGGATATTGAAGGAAAAAACCAAAAACAAGGCAAAGGAAAAGTATGTTGGGTTTGTAGGGATACTTTACTGTTACAACTTGAAGAGTTCAGCATTTGCTTTGAAGCTGAATGAGCTAGAAATATTTTCTGAAATGCGAGTATTGTGTGAAGAGAGTTCAAGTTTGTATTTGCATTGAAATGCTTCGTCTTGTGTATTTGCATGGTATTTCCTTAGCACTATAAAGACGTAAGGGAGGTGGGGGAGAAAAAGATTAGCTGTGATTTGATTAGCCTCTCTGGATGTGTTCCATCCTAGACTTAAATTTGGTGCTAATACAGTCTCTTCTGGTTGCTGTCATTAATTTTGTCTCTCTTCTAATTTGAAAAGTAAACAGAAACCAATAATTCAATTAAAAGGGGTTTTTTATAGGTCGCAGACAAGAGGTTACACTACCTGAGTGGAGAGGTCTAAACCCAGTTAATAGCCCTTCTGTCCCCTCATAGGACAAATGTCCCTGCCACCCCCTCCCCAGGTGGCTCCTGCCCTCTCACTGGCATGGTGCTGCCCACACGCAGCCACAGTTTTGTACCAGTACAGAGTGCCCAGCTAGTGAGAGATGGTCATAAATAGCTTTATACAACAGTAATTTAATTTTTCTTAAAATTTTTTTTCATTCTTCTGTAAGTCATACGTGATTTTGGGAATCAAATACAAAGACACCTGTCTGCTCTTCCTCACCCCCACTTGCCACCATGTGCTCAAATTAAAAAACAAAAGGTTAATGAATTGCAGAGGAGACTTTGTGACGTGTGAAGGGAATTGCCATAGCTGTTTTAAATAAAATCTGTATCATCTGTTTTACAGTTTAAATACGAGAAACACCTTTGTGTCATATGCTGTCACTAATCACATTTTTACTTGCTGGAAGATTTTAAATGAGGGAAGGAGGAAATGGAACCTGTAGAATTCTTGTTGGTCTTTGCATCAGTTAGGATCAGCTGTTATTGTCAACTTTGGGTTTTAAATCTGGTTCCTGAAAACAGAAGGCCTTTTGTTTTCTTGTCATGGTATGAATAATAATTTGGATTTTTTTAATTACTACATCATACACAATTAAAAGTTCTTGTGTGTGTGTGTAATTGCAGACCTGTAAGAAAGGAAAAAAAGGACCAGCAGAGAAGGGGAAAAGTGGAAACGGAGGAGGGAAACCTGGTGGTCCAAATCGGATGAATGGACATCACCAACAGAATGGTGTGGAAAACATGATGCTGTTTGAAGTAGTTAAAATGGGCAAGAGTGCTATGCAGGTAAGACTTGGCATATATCTGTGACTTGAATGATTATACCATTTAAATATAGTGATATTTTCTTGTATATACACTGTAATAAAATGAAGCCTAAACTTTTCCTTCAATTTGCAGTTTTTTATATATTTTTATATATTTTTTTTTATAGTTCATAGTAAAGTGTAGATTAAGATTTTTTTTTTTAAAAAAAGCGTTTTTGCATTGTTAAGCTTTGAATTTTAACAAGCTGATTTTTCCTTTCAATATGTTGGGTATAAATAATCACATACATAATGAAGAAATTCAAACTATGATTAAAAGTGACTTTTCAGTATCCTGAATGAAGAAAGGTTATTTTTTTTTTTATCACATGACTTTTAAGTTCTTTTTGTGTGGCTGTAACTAAATACAACTCTGGTTTATGCCTAGAGTTGTCATAGAAGTTAACAAGAAATCTGTGGTTTGTAAACGCTCCCAGAGTTTAGATTATCTGAATTAAATTCAGATAAAATCAGTAAAGCATTAGCTTAACTCTGTGAATCTCACAGTGGGGAGAGGGTTAAAGTGGAAGGCTGTCAGCCACCAAGCCTTCCTGCTGACTCACTCATGTGACTCCTCAGCAGCCTGGAGGAAGGACTATCTTTGGGATTGAAAATCTAGAGTTTCCAGCTTCTGTGATCCGCATGCGGGAAGCTGGGTCTGTGTGCTGTCCTCTCAAAATTTGCAGGCTCCTGCATTATTGCTGGGAACCTTAAAGCCTGAATTCCTTGGTAGAAAAGTAGTTCAGACTTCTAGAAAAGAATAGACTACTTTGATGTATTTGCACAGAGAAATTCTGATACTTCCGTCATTTGTTTTTGGGTGGTGTATCAAAGCAGGTGGAAAAACATTACTTTTCTAACTGTTGCTGTGTGTGCTACATTTTGAAACAGTTATCAGTGGTTGTATCTTCACAACATTTTAACTGTTTAAAAGTCAAACACTTCTGCTTTCCAAGGGCAAAATGTGCTTTGACAGGCCTGATTAGTCTGTTGAATTAGGGAATTAATGCTCTGCTAACAAACAGAATCTTCGTCAATATTTTTTTGTCAAAAATATGAAAAAAATTCTCAAAGTATTTCTAAAGTAAAGTCCAGTGTAAATAGTTTCCTCTGTAGCCCTCAGCACTTGCTTATCTGAAAAGACTGATAGCTTTAATTTTATTTTATCTTAAATTATGTTCTATGCATTCTTCATAGTTTATTCTCTGTTCTGCGGCAAAAAACAGGTGGCTCATCAACTCAGAGAAAATGTTTTGAGAAACTGCTGTTTTGCCGGAGGTTCTTTAAATTAATTCTGAGAACAAGGCTGCTTAACTGAAATATTTGTCTTGTTCCTAGCATGATTCTGTTATTGCACACTGACCTTCTCTATAAGCCTAATTTAAGACGTTTCCTGCATTATTTAGTCCCTCCCCACAGGTCAATCAAATCAGTACTAGTTTGTAGCTTCTGCTCCTACTGAATAGGTAGGACAGTTTCACTTTTGAGATTTTCATTCTTTGTGTCTTGTTGATGAAAGTTGTGCATCGTACTACAAACAATCTCAAATTTAGGGAAGGATTTACGTGTGTCTTTGTTTAGAAATTTTTCTGCATGGCATTGTGTTTTATTTGTCTTCAGAGCATTATTGCCTGTGAGAGCAAGCACTGAGTACAGACAGGAAGCATCAGAGATGCTGAGTAGTCCAGTTGTCTTTCAGAAGTTCTGAACTATTTCATAATATCTTTTTATTTTAAATTACTCTAGAATTTTAGGCAGGGTATCAACATATTAAAAAACTCAAAACTTGATACTAAAGTAAGTCTCTTTTGCCTGTGTTAATAAATTAATTGTATGAAGAATGTTTTTGACTTCTGCAGTAGGCAGCTTGTATTATACACATGGATGGTTTAAAAGTCATTGCATGTAAATTTTTTTTTTCTCAAAACAATTAATCACAGGTTTCCTATTGATTTACTTCCCTTTAAGGTTTTTGAGTAAAATGCTCTTGTTCCTATTCCATTTAGTGAATACAGAGCAATTAATGTCCATGCAGCTCAGGGCAGTGCTGTTCATCCTGTAACAGCTAATGCGCATGGAGCGCAGTTCATCAAAGTGGCAACATTTTTGAAGAGTATAGTGAGTTTTAGCCGTTGTAACTGAACACCTAAATAAGTATCTTTAGACAAGTATCACTAGTTCATGAAACAACAGGAAAAAAAAAAAGGGAAAATTTGCTTCCATAAAATATATCAATTATTTTTGCATTCTCCCTCAAAAAAGTTACTGTAGGACTGTATGGTGTTCCTGAGCTTTATGTTTAGATGTCAGTTCCATACTTCTATATGTTCATAGAATAAAATTATTTTTTTTTCTTTTAAAGTGATAATGATGGCATTTAAGGATCATTTCAAACATTTCATTCTGTATTAGTCAAAAAAAACACAGAGTCCAGGTTATTTATGGAAGGAACAAGAATCACTTGCTGGAAAGCAGTTAAATAACAGTCTTCAATTTATGAAAACTAAAAAGTGCCTTTATATTTGTTTCTTTTCAGTCTGTAGTGGATGACTGGATAGAGTCATACAAACATGACAGAGATATAGCACTTCTTGATCTCATTAACTTCTTTATTCAGTGTTCAGGCTGCAAAGGTAAGATACTGAATGTTTACTCATCCATTTAATAATATTATAGTATAATTGCCATTATTTGCTCTTATACTACATATGCTGTAGGACTGCTCTGTCCCTGCAGTTAGTTTACATTATCAGGGATAGTATTTCTGAAGGTGGGAGCAGGAGGTTTAGAAATATTATACTATATTTTAAAATGTAGATTTAACCTTTTGTATTCATACCAGAGAGAATGGAGTACCGGTACTTAACACTTACTAAATCTTCCTCAGTTCCTGCTGTTATTTCAGAAAACCATTATCTCTTTTCTAACGTTGATAGTTTAGCTTGTTCAGTCTTGGAATTCTAGTTTGAAATTATCTACTTCTTATTGAGTGTTTTAAGATTGTTTCATAGCCTTGCAAAGATGCTTGATTTAAAAGATACTATGGACAGCTTATGGTAGTCTGTCTACAGTAAGATTGTGTTTCCATATTTTATTTTCTTCTTTATTTGTTGGTTATCTTTCCTCACTTTCACATCCTTTATTCTTGCCCCCCCTCACCTCCTTTTGAAGAGGAGAAGGTAACTTACTTTGCAGTGTCACTGTGCGTGATAGAGTAGGACTGGATGTAATTTGGTCTGCTCAAGTGTTTCTCTCTGTCCGGTTAAACTTTTAAAGTGCATAAATCTCTCGAAAGCCAACAGCATTCCTCAGAGGTTATCCATGCTTTCAAGAGCAGTGACCTTTTGATTATTGCTACCGGATCAAACTACAGAATCTTTTAATGCTTTCTGAGATGATCCTTGTCATGAATTTTGCAGTATAGTTGCAGTAAACTTTAGGAGATCTATTTGTTTTTATATCACCATTTACACTCAATTTGAGTGTAAGACAAATAAAAATTGTGTGAAATCACTGTGTTTATTACAGTGCAGAAGATAATAAGTAGCAATAGAACTGTTCAAAATTGTATTGTACCATTTAGAATCTTGAGTCCTGAAAGGTCACTTCAGATTAGTGTAGACTCTTGGCTGATGAAGAGGTCTGGCACAAGTGTCTTTGACTTCTGAATACGGGTGAATGAGTAAATTCTAGATGTGTTGTGTACAAGCACAGAGACACGTTTTTAAAACAGAAAAACAATGAAAACCATATATTATACATATAAAAGAAAAGTGTTGGTGCCAAGCGGTTGTTATACATGGATGCTAAAATGAAAACGTGCAATTTCTTGAAAAATACATGTATAATATGTAGGTTAGCTGAAAAATGATCATTCTTACATTGTAGCAGTAAGCATGTCATTTGCAATCTACCTCATATTAAAATTGCTAATAATCTAATATCTAAATTGTAGGAGTTGTAACAGCAGAGATGTTCCGACATATGCAGAATTCTGAAATAATCCGAAAAATGACTGAAGAATTTGATGAGGTAATTTCATAAAGTGCTGATAATGTATTTATATTAATTTTTTCACCTGTTTTAATCTTACTAGATCATGTTGCTGCAGGCTTCTTTCAAGGGTAAGGTCAGATGCAAAAATGACAGGACTTTTATGAATTAAAATCTTGAACTCTATTTCACTGAACTTGTAAGATTAGGAAGTACAGCTCTGCATGTATATAACTTGCTTTATTAATGGTGTAAGAAATCAGTGTTGAGTTTCAGTTTTTGAATAGTGGGAACTTCTACTACTGTGGGGCTGTGTGGGATGCCTCCCCGTTCCTGCTGTGTATGTAAGGCCTTTATGTCGTCTTTAACTTTTAAAATGGTTGCTAAATGAATAATTAATTTCTATGCATTCATTAATCTATGAATCATGGGGATTTTAATTTGATTACTGTTGAAGACTAATGCTTTGCCTTTCATGGGGATTATAACATTTTTCCCTTTAAACTGTCACTTTCTGTTCCACTGAGTGTTGTGGTAAATGAGATGCATTAGGTGTTTTGGTGGTTGGTTTGGGTTTTTTTGGGGGTTTATTTTTGAGTGATACTCCTTCTACCCTGTGTTCCAAAGAACATAAAGGTAGTTTTACAACCTCCTCCCAAAATTTGTCTAATTTGGAAATAATTTCCCTGCCTTGCCTCCCCTCCTCTCTCCCTATTAAAATCCAAACATCGGTAACTTTAACAGAGAGGAAAATGTAGTATGTTTTTGTTTAAGAGGATTTTTAGTATTCCTTAGAGCTATCTCAATGCATAAATAGATTTGATTACTCTAAGGCAATGTTGTATGGAATTTGTAAAGCTTCAGCTGGGACTGTTTGTTATGGGTGTTTTTATCACTGTTATACACAGCCTTTTTTCTAACAGAATTCTGATGAACAACTCTCAGATTTCTAATCCCTTTTCGTGGTTACTTCCTTCATTTTTGGCCAGTAATGTTTAGTCTCTTAAAGAAGCTGTTCACAGAAGCACGGATACAATGATTGCCAATTGATTTCCTCCCCCACCCCGTCATTTTACCATTGATTGTAAAGGTCCTCAGATTAGGAGAGGAACATACATTTGTTATTTTCAAGGCGTTATAGTAGGTTGTTTTATGACTTCAGGAGTTTTCAGTCTGATATGTAAGCATCTCCCTGTAAACTTTACTGTGGTCCTGAACTGAGTGTTCCTAAACATGTCAGCTAACTCTTCCTGTGAAGATTCTTTTGTTCTAGTGTAACCTGAAGGAGATTTGCAAGGGATATGATTTATATTTTATTATTTTCTTTCTTTTTTTGGGGGGGGGGGAATAGGACAGAAGGAAGAAATGTTGTACTTATTTTAGTGTATCTGGTTATGTGCAGCTTTTATGGTAGGACTTGTAGAATGTTGTCTCTGCATATAACAAGCCTGAGTTGCAAAGCAGATGCATATTTATGGAATCACGTTTTCCTGATGTATTCTTTTTATAGCATTGGATATTTTGGCTTAAAGTTGACCCATCTCTTTTTAACCTTAATTTTATAAAATGACTTTTAAGACATTTGAAAGAGTTTCCTATTTCCCTTTTTGTTTCTTAATAGGATAGTGGAGATTATCCACTAACTATGGCTGGTCCCCAGTGGAAGAAGTTCAAATCCAGTTTTTGTGAGTTCATTGGAGTACTCGTCCGGCAATGTCAATATAGCATCATATATGATGAGTATATGATGGATACTGTCATTTCACTGCTTACGGGGCTATCAGACTCACAAGTCAGAGCATTTCGGCACACTAGCACACTGGCAGGTCAGTGAATTATATTTATCTGTGTATTGCTTCCATTTTATGCTTTGTGTTGCACAGAAAAGAATTGTTCTGGTTCAACTTCTTGATATTTGACATTCAAGTTGTGTTTCATTGTGTGATACAGTTTTTGTCTAATGCAACTTGGTTTGGTACAGCTTTCTTACCTTGTTGTCTTTGGTTTTTGATTACTGAAAACCACACTATTGTAAAGCATTCTTTACTAGCTGTCTAGTACTTAAATTTGGTGAGCTTTAAATCTAGTAGAAAAAGCAAATAGAAGGAAACTTTTCAGTTGATTCTACAAGTTTGTCCTTGGTCATAATAAGGCATAATAATTATGCTCTGTATTAAGTCAAACAGTAGTATTGTAGATTGGATGCAGTTTTTACCACAAATTTAAATTGTGCTGGATATTGAGGCCGTGGCACAATGTAATTGAAAGAAGCATTTCCATTCTTTGCATTAGAAATATTTTTAAAGAATGCTTCATCAACGATACAGTTACTAAATTTCTCTATGGTTTTAAGTAACTGTTCTTTTTATGGAATTTTTTCTCTTACACACCCCTCACCCC